CAGGCACAAGACTCCTTTCTTCACTTGCCTTCTACTATTAATGCTGTAAAAATAACTCAGATTCTACAAATGCAGCAATCCTAAGCATTTCTTAGAATTAAAGGTGAAAATTCTTCAAATACTCAATTTCCTTGGCATCGAATATTATCGACTATTTGATTTTACCACTAACAATCTGAAGGATTTTCATACCCCGTAGATTCCCTGATTCTAACTGTCTAGGTTAAACTTCTTCAACTGAGCATATTTTGCAAATAAATGTCTACCATTTGCAAAGCAAAAAGCAAAGTGTGCTGCTTATATACCGCCACATAGTGCTTCAAGCACTCTCTGAGCGGTTTACAAGTTAATTATGCAGGCTACACATTGCCCCCCCAGCAAGCTGGGTACTCATTTTACCGACTTTGGAAGGATAGAAGGCTGAGTCAACCTTGAGCCGGCTACCTGGGATTGAACCCCGGGTGGTGAGTACAGTTTTAGCTGCAGTACAGTACAGCAGTTTAACCACTGCGCCACAAAGCTCTTCTTTGCCTAGTATACTTGTACTTTTACATATGTCGCTTAACTCTAAAACCCATCAGCCCTAGACAACAGGGTAAATAGGGATTACTGAACTTGTGCTACAAAAATCATATGCAACACCACAGGTTTTTGGGTCACATTTACCATATTAAGGAGACAGAGCCCAATTCAGAACTAGTGCTTCCCTTATTTGCCAAAGTTTTATCTCCTGAGTTCCCATAAATCATTTTCATAAATATATTTCTTTATCATGCCTCAGACCTTGCAAACCTTGCAAAACTCTCTTGATGACCTTAGACACTCATTGTTTCAATGCTTCTCAGCCTTTGACCCTCCAGGCATTTTGGACTTCATCTCCCAGAAGCTGCAGTCAGCAAAGTCAATGGTCAAAAATCCTGAGAGCTTAACTCCAAAAACATCTCAAATGCTAAAGATCAAGAACCACTAAACCATCTCTTAGCCTAACCTAGTAGTTCTCAGCCTTGGTAACCCTGGTGTTCTTGGACTGCAACTCCCAGAATGAGCACAGCTAGTTCTGAAGGCTTCTGGAATTGCAGTCCAAGAACACTTCAGTTACCCAAGGTTGTGAACAAGTGGCCTAACCTACTGCACAGAGTTCTGTGAAAGTACGGTAAGTGTATGTGAGAATCATGCATTGTATGCTGTTCTGAGCTCATTGGAGGAAAGAAGAAAAATATAAACATTGGGTAAGACACCCTCTTCACTGAAGTGACACTGTAGTAAGGATAAATTAATCCAAAAAGGTTCCTAGCTTCAACAAAAACTATGCTATCATACTGGGTCTGACATAAGAGGCATGGAAAGCTCTAGCCCTTCTGCACTAGTCTGCTTCATGTACTGTATATGCTTGGCATAGAAGAAAAAAGTGTGCCATCTTTCCTCAATCAGCCCACGCAGTTGCCTGCACAGAATTCCAATTCTTGTCTGCATGAAATTCTTCTCATTTAAGCCAACCAGAGTAATGGTGAAATATAAGACCATTCTAGTAGCAGAATTAAAACCAATTTTACACCTTCCTACAGGTTTCTAAGAAGTGATGAAAGAAGCCTGGCTAACCCCATTAACACAACAAACTGCAGGAATGTGTGAAATCAGTTTTCAATCTGCTGCTGCCATAGTAAAACAATCTTGCAAGGGTATGCTTAACAACTTTTAATCTTGCATTATTACATTTAATAAGAAGATTTCCATTTACTTTACACACTGCTTCCTTTTGCCTTTTTTCTCTCTTTTTAGTTCTTGCCAACTACAAACAATAATCTAAATTCATAATTCTGGCTCTTTCAAGGAAGATTTTTCATTAAAAACATGTAATTTTAAAAGCCAACATATTTCTTGTTTTCAGAAACAGAATGTATGGCATCACTCTGCAGGATTTTCAGACTGTGTTGGTCCATTTCAATATGTACAAGAAACGAAAAGCAAAAATATTATGGCATCTTACACAGGTCAATTTCAAATTGTGGGCCTGCACAGAACTAGAATCCGCTTCCCCAGACACATGGAGTACAATAGTTATCCAAACAGTACACACACATAATTGCATATACCATGTATATAAAGCCTTTAACTAAATACTGCACTCCATGAATCTAAAGAAGCAGACTCTGCAATTCATGAAAGCTCACAATGAAACAAATATGTTATTACTCAAGATACCACAACACTTTTGTTTTTATTTTGTTTTAATCATGCATTCTGAGATATTGATTTAAATATGCTTGGTGGTATATAGGTTGACCAATTAAATTTTAAAAAACCTGTGCTCGTATTCACATCAGTGACCACCACCATTAAGTGAGCCAGCAACTTAACCCCAGGGGCAATTATTTAGAATAAGTTTCTAACAAGTTTGAGGAAGTTTTCTTCTAAATAAACATTTTCCAAATCACTTCATACACTTGCTTAATCCAGTACAAAAATAATTCTTTACATACAGACTGCATACCAACTACTGTACTGCTGTTTGCAGTGCCACAGTCTACACACTTAAGCATGAAAAAAGATTTACCATTTTCCCCCGACAACTCAAATCAACAATGCCATTTTACTTGTTACTAGGGAGCTATATATTTTTACTTTTTGATTTCCTTCAATAGATTAAAGTTAAATCATATTCTATAGACATACCTGGTTTTCCATGATAATATATAATTGCCTAGGCAGAGCTCTTCAAAGGTCCACAGCAAAGGTTCATTTTACCTTTTGAATACACAATGCATCTAGGAAACCATTCTGGTATTATCGCTTTTCATTGTTTATGTCCTTTGATGCCACTCAGCTACTAAGGTACCACAATACCTTTTTTTAAATTGTTACCGACATATCAACTTTCTTGTCTTTATATTAGGAGTGTGCAACTGCCAGTCCACCAAGCTTCTCCATCTAACTTAACAGATCCTAATACAAGCCCCCACTCTAAAGCCCAATCCCCTCAAAGAAACGCAAAAAGCAAATCGTGTTGCTTTTATACCACCCCATAATGCTTAAAACCCTCTCTGAGTAGTTTACAAATTAATTATGGAAGCTACACATTGCCCCCAGTCCAGCAAGCTGCATACTCAATTTACCGACTGGAAGAATGGAAGACTTGAGTGAACCACAAGCCGGCTACCTGGGACTAAACCTGGATAGTGAGCAGAGTTTTAGCTGCTGTACTGCGGTTTAACCCTTGCACCACAAGGCTCCTAAGAGCAAAGTACCAGGAGACTCCTCCTGCCAGTAGTTCAGGCTGTCACTTCACCCACCAGAAGGTAAGAACAGAATTAAATCAGCACCTCAAATGAGGCACCAGCTGGAGCACTCCTTCAGCCAGTATCCCAGAAAGCAGATTGCAGGGCATAAGGATCACTCTTCCATCCCATGCCATCCACTTCTGGAAGGCAAGCCAGAATCTGGGTCTTCATAGTTAATTAGTTACCACACTTTGGCAATTAGTTTACTGTAGTTTACATGAGCACATGGCCTGGGGGTGGGGCCTAGGGGTGGGACTTCCTGATTTAAAAGAGCGTGTCCCAGGACCCTGGACCCTGTTCCCGAGGGAGCTGGGCTGAGGGCGAAGGCCTGGTCTGTTTGCATGGATGCCCTGCTGAGTTCTTTTTTTCCTGGGCTTTCTTTCTTTTTGTCTCCTGAGCACATGGCCTGGGGGTGGGGCCTAGGGGTGGGACTTCCTGATTTAAAAGAGCGTGTCCCAGGACGCTGGGCTGAGGGCGAAGGCCAGGTCTAGCCTTATATCTAGCCTTAATATGGTAAATAGGAAATCCAATGAGATTTGCATAAGCCGGGTAGTCAGGAAGGTTTTAAGGATCAGATCATACTTTTTGCACTATTAAAGAGCAGGCCGGGTAGGTGGGGCTCGTCAGCCATGGAAGGCAGCCCATCTAGGAGAAGGAAAACTCTGATTTCAAACCTCCACTGCCTTGTGGCTATATCCATTCATGGAAAAGGCTTCAGGAGTTAACCTCGAGGCAAAATCCGGAGCTGGAGTCCCGAAGGCAGCACATGTCGTTCTGCCAACTCCTGCGACATTGCTGGAACCAGTTGTATTGGCTCTTGCCTTTCCATTGGATCATTTCAGCAATGTGGAGAGGGGGGATCTGCTGCTTGGGTAACAGCCTATCCTCCATATTACCTTACCCGGGCTTCATGCTCTGGAGAGGACACTCCTCGATTCAGAGCATGTTACCATAGTCTCTCGAGACTGAAGGATGCCTATATGCTAGTTTACATTAAGATCTAGAACATCTACATTTCTAGAGAATTTTACCATGAAGCATGCTCGTTAACTACAGATTGCAGAACCATGGAGGGAACAAGCGAACAACCTGGGCTCTTGAAAAAAAAGCAAAGTTATACCTCCCTATCATACTCAACAGCTTTTAATGCATCCTTTAAAGCAAGAGATGATTCCTAATAAATATTTTTAATATCATTTATTAAATACTTATTGTATTTCTAAAAGATCCTGATGTCTCTCATTTGAGTTTAAATAACTGCCATTTTAAAATTGAAGCAGTGTACAAGTCATATTATTAAATAAATCCTACATTATTTCTAGGCTCTAGCATGAAAACTTGTTTCTTGCAACATCTAGTCAACAGTTCTACAACTCAACAAAATGCAATTTCCTTCCAACTCTCAGCATTCAGATCACATCTGCACTTTTGTTCTCCCTTGCAAATGCTTCGTGCACATCCCCCCCACTCCTCCCCATTATACGAAGCAGCTATTCTTCATCCACATCCCCTTCCATGCTTCCCCGTCCAGGAGCTGATGCCATTATGTAGTCTCCCCACTGAACTGCTACCCTGTACTTCAGACTACGTGTTCCCCAGAAATCTTGCCCTTCCCTGCCTTTTATCATATACTGAAATGAGCAGACCAATTCACTCATACAGTATTCACTGCAGGTCACCTTCCACAAGAAGAGGTCATCCCTAAATTGCAATTCTACCCACCTTTACTGAGCATTAAACTAACACTGAACTTAGGGAGGAGGGAGGAACACGAGAGCTGAACTGGAGTGTTTTTTCACGCTCCTGGTCCACATACTGGAGTAACAACAATATTCTCCTATCTTTGAAAAGCAGCAGACAACTACTGATGCCATGTTTCAAATTGTGACATGGCTAGATGACACCATGGCACTCTCCTTTAGACGTCTTTGATAACCAAGAGCAAGTTTTTGCCCTAAATAATGGTTCCCTTATCAGAATTCCTCCATGTCAAATATATTTATTCATGTTCTTGAATCTAATGAAAACAGCAGTACTAGAAAAGACAAGAAGAGGAAGAATATAGATGGAGGAATATTATAGCAAGAGGTCCCGTCTACAGTGGTGGGGAACACAGTTAAATTGTATTTTGTTTGTGTATTTTATGTTTAGGTTTCAGTTAAAATAAAAAAAAAATATTTAAAGAAAGAAAAAAAAGACAAGGGCAGTTTTTCAATTACTTTAGTTTATATTTAAAATCATTTATAATAGCAAAAGAATAACAATAGAATAATTGCGTTGGAAGGGGCCTGTAAGGTTACAGGGTCCAGCCCCCTGCTCAATGAAGGAACCCAAATCAAAACAGATCAGACAGATGGGTGTACAATTTTCTCTTGAATGCCTCTAGCATTAGAACACTCATAACTTCTTGAGATACTTGGTTCCACTGTCACAGTGCTCTTAACAGGTAAGACATTTTTCCTGATATTCAGCCAAAATCTGGCTTCTTGTAGCTTCAGCCCATTATCACGTGTCTGGCACCCTGGGATGATTGAGAAGAGATTCTGTCCCTCCTCTGTATGACAATCTTTCAAGTATTTGAAAAGTGCTATCATATCTCATCTCAGTGTTCTTTTCTCAAGTCTAAACATGACCAGTTCTTTCAGTCTTTCCTCATAAGGCTTTTTCTCCAGTCACCCTTGTTGCCCTTCTCTGAATCTGTTCCAGTTTGTCATCCTTTTTAAAGTGTAGTGTCCAGATCTGGACCCAGTACTCAAGATGAGCCCTAACCAGTGTTGAATAAAGGGGGATTAGCATTCCACAGAATTTGGAGACTGTACTTCTGTTAATGCTGCCTAAAATATATTAGCCTTTTTTTGCAGCCACTTCACACTGCTGGTTCATATTCAGCTTGTGATCTACAACTACAAGATGCTTCTCACTCACAGTATTACTTAGCTAAGTATCCCCCATCTTATAACTATGTATTTAACTTTTTCCCCCTGTGTGTAGAACTTTACAATTATTTCTTGAATATATTCATAGAGCAGGCATCCTTCAGTCTCAAGAGACTATGGTAATGTGCTCTGTATAGAGGTCTTGGAACAGGGTCTAGTGTGGCTGAGAAAGCCAATTCACAGTAGCTTACATTGTGAAAGTTTCTATTTCCTATAGTATGTAAACTTTAATACAGTAACTTAATAAAAACAATTACAGTCCACCCTGCTACTGAGTTTTAAAAATGTTCTACACTAGTCTCCTCAGAGGCAAACTGAATATAACTAAGTTACACTCTTACCGGATCAGCTATAGTATAGCTCTTCCACTGCCAAGAAGAGAAATGCAAGATAGGTACATAACTCTTCATCTCAAACACAGTAAATTCTTCCACCCCACATCCTGACTTCCTAAATGCTAACATGAGGAATTGAGAAGATATTGGAAAAACACAATTGAAGGGAAAGCCTGTCACCTCACTCCAAAAGTTACGGTCTTTTTCTGCTATTTCACCTTCTCCCACACAAAGAAATTACTAATCATACACTGCTGTGCTCTTCCCAGTCTCCCAATGCCATTACGAATATGAAGGACTGAAGAATCTTCTCCATTCCACATCTGAGGAAGCACAGTAAAAGGTCTGTTACAGCCACTCCCCTCTACCCATCCTAGAACAGGGATTTCCTTGAAAGCTTTCTTTATTCCAACCAGCATCCCTCACAAAGATAAAAAGATAGCAATTCATTCAAGACTCTGGCAAGCCACAAAACCTATTACACAAATAACACATGCAAGGCAGATTTGGAACACCATTTCATGTACAGTGTTCACCCTCACACCTCCTCCTTATAATCATGGGCTTAAAGCCCAAATGAAGCTTAAACAAACACAGATGCTACGGAATAGAGGGGGGGCGGTTTAAACACAAGGTTCACAATTAAAGAAACTGAGGATCAAGACACCCTGTTAAGCTGTCGGGCAAAACTGGCAAGCAACACGAAGCCCAGAAAAAAAGGAGGGCCGAAAAGCATCTATATCTTTAGCACCTTCCGTTGAAGGTCACGCCTCCTACTCCACGCCCAAAAGAAAGCCCTATACTGTACTGTACAACCGGCTGGGCGTTTGGATATTACAATATTTCATTTATTTCTGGGGTTACATTTATAACCCCGCCTGGTTTCCACAGAAGTAGCCAGAATGCCAACATGGATCCACACTTGACTCAACAACATGCTGCAAAATGTTACGCGATAGGAAGGAAGCCTCTCTTTTGTCTCTCGTTATACTTGTACACAGATCGAAGAACGTAGGCTTTCCCACCACCACCCCTATCGCCGATCCCAAAGGGCAGCTGCTATTTTGTAACGCGCTTGACTTAATTCTAGGCAGGGCGTAATGATAATAAAGGTTAAGCCCGAGAGAGCGCCCGCCTTCCCGGGAGAGGAGAGAAAGGGGCGGAAAAAGGCTTCTTCCTCTGCAGCGCCTGACGGGCCAGACCGCCGGAACGTAGGCTTTCCCACCACCACCCCTATCGCCGATCCCAAAGGGCAGCTGCTATTTTGTAACGCGCTTGACTTAATTCTAGGCAGGGCGTAATGATAATAAAGGTTAAGCCCGAGAGAGCGCCCGCCTTCCCGGGAGAGGAGAGAAAGGGGCGGAAAAAGGCTTCTTCCTCTGCAGCGCCTGACGGGCCAGACCGCCGAGCACGCGGCCAGAAACCCTCCGACAGACCGCAACCCCCCC